TGTTAGAAAACAAGAACGAAACTTTTCAGCACGTCTCCTAACGCCACGTTCATCCTGTACAGATCAACTTCACCCAGAATGATTTCAGTCACCGACGTTTCTGATGAAATCTGACCCAAACCAGCCTGTTCCCCTCCTGGCCTGTGGGGGCGCTGCACCAACAACCACTGCAGGAAACGACACTAAAACCTCTGAAGACGCTGAGAGCAACTTCCTGTTTCACCAGATGAAACAAGATGGGCGTCAGAGTTTATGTTGGAGGATTTCTCTTTAGTCTTTGAGCCTTTTCTGCTGCTAGCGCTAGGCTAGCATGTTAGCTTTGGCTGAATTTACCCAGAATGCCCTGCGCTGTAGTCCACTTCCTGTTTTTGGAGCGATTTCTGGTCCACTTGGTGGTCACATTCAGACCGAACCAGACCGGGGTTTGAGAGGACCAGAGGTCAGAGGTCAGCTACAGATCTGACCTCTGAGCTGGATTAAAGCAAACTGGACCAAAGTCTCGTTAGTGAAAGACGGTGGCCTGATGGATCAATCCCTATGGTCTCCTAAAGAGATGAAAGGCTGATGGATGGGCTTCATGGTTCATTCATCATTCATTCATTCATTCATCAGACAGGAGAGACTGCTGCGTCTTTTCAGCATGAACCAGTTTTTATTTTCAGACAGAACACGGTTAGCAGAGGAAGCAGTCCAGACTTCACATCACGTCTGGAGCCGTGAACACAAAGTGACCAGTTAACCCAGAGAATACAAAAACACAAAATATACAAATATACAAAACAGAGATGATCCTTCGGCAGCGTCGTCGTCTGTCTGTTATTCCGGAAGCAGTTTTCTAATTCTGCAGTGACTTGATGTTTGGAGCAGAAACCTGGAGTCCCTCAGGGCCGAGTGGTCGACCCCTTTTATTCCCAGGTCACAAACGAATGAACAAAGCAGCAAAACTGAAATAAAACTCAGTTTTTAGAGTTAATAGGTGTTGGACAGGCTTCTGAAATCAGCGCCAAGTTTTAGTTTTACCTGAACTTGAGGTGAGATGAAAAAGCTGCCAGTGAGGAGAGCCATTGATTCTGAGCTGATCAATTACTGAAACATTGATGTTCATTAAATGCCTCAAAAATTTGTTTTTTCACACATTAAAACAACAAAATCATTTAATGTGATTCAGTCAGCTCTCAGACATTTCAGATCAGTGCAAATTATTTATAATTATTAATAATCATTACAGGATTCACTACGAAATTAACCAACAACACCAACATGGGGACAAAATAAAATATAAATAAAGTATAATATGACCTTCATCAGTGATGGATGAAGGTTCATCAGCCACCAGAAAAATCCTTCAGATAGCTGACCTGCAGGTCAGAGGTCGGGAGCAGCAGCATGGAGGGAGGGGAGCAGCAGCCGAAAAACTAAACATCATCAAATATCCGATTCCGAGACGAAGACATGGAGAGATATCGTCTCCTGCATGTCTGCAGACACAGAGAAGATCAACAAACTGATGATTCAGGAAATAAACGTGATTCTGGGGTGTGTGACTGAGCCAGATGTGTGTGACGGTGTGTGTGACTGTGTGTGTGTGTGACGGTGTGTGTGACGGTGTGTGTGACTGTGTGTGTGACGGTGTGTGACGGTGTGTGACGGTGTGTGACAGTGTGTGTGACGGGGTGTGTGACGGTGTGTGTGACGGGGTGTGTGACTGTGTGTGTGTGTGTGACGGTGTGTGACGGTGTGTGTGACTGTGTGTGTGACGGTGTGTGACGGTGTGTGACGGTGTGTGTGACGGTGTGTGACGGTGTGTGTGACGGTGTGTGTGACGGGGTGTGTGACGGTGTGTGTGACGGGGTGTGTGACTGTGTGTGACGGTGTGTGTGACGGTGTGTGTGACTGTGTGTGACGGTGTGTGACGGTGTGTGACGGTGTGTGTGACGGTGTGTGACGGTGTGTGTGACGGTGTGTGACTGTGTGTGTGACGGTGTGTGACTGTGTGTGTGACTGTGTGTGACTGTGTGTGTGACGGGGTGTGTGAGGGTGTGTGTGACGGTGTGTGACGGTGTGTGTGACGGGGTGTGTGACAGTGTGTGACGGTGTGTGACGGTGTGTGACGGTGTGTGACGGTGTGTGTGACGGTGTGTGTGACGGTGTGTGACGGTGTGTGTGACGTGTGTGACTGTGTGTGTGACAGTGTGTGACTGTGTGTGTGACGGTGTGTGTGACGGGGTGTGTGACTGTGTGTGTGACGGTGTGTGACTGTGTGTGTGACTGTGTGTGACTGTGTGTGTGACGGTGTGTGTGACGGTGTGTGTGACTGTGTGTGACGGTGTGTGTGACGGTGTGTGTGACAGTGTGTGACGGTGTGTGTGACGGGGTGTGTGACAGTGTGTGACGGTGTGTGACGGGGTGTGTGACAGTGTGTGACTGTGTGTGTGACGGTGTGGACTGTGGTGTGACAGTGTGTGACGTGTGTGTGACTGTGTGTGACGTTGTGTGACGGGGTGTGTGACGGGGTGTGTGTGTGACGGGGTGTGTGACGGGGTGTGTGTGTGACGGGGTGTGTGACGGGGGTGTGACAGTGTGTGACGGTGTGTGTGACGGGGTGTGTGACAGTGTGTGACGTGGTGTGTGACGGGGTGTGTGACAGTGTGTGACTGTGTGTGACAGTGTGTGACTGTGTGTGTGACGGTGTGTGTGACGTTGTGTGTGACGGGGTGTGTGTGACGGGGTGTGTGTGTGACGGGGTGTGTGACGGGGTGTGTGACGGACTTCCTGTCTACCTGCCGGCCTCGGCCTCCAGGACGTCGTCCGTCGGGGCGTCGGCGTTGAAGTCCAGCGGTTCGGCGTCCTGCAGCAGCTCGATGCGGTCCCTGTCCGCCCGGCTGGCAGAGCGAGAATACTTCACCTCTGAAGACCACAAACAGGTTCTGTTAAGGTTCTGTTGGGATTGTGGTTGGGTTCTGGTTGTGGTTCGGACTCACGTCTGTCCCTGCTGGACTCGGAGTAACTGGTCTCCTTCATCTCGTGGCTGCTCCGGTTGCGGGGAGCGAAGTCCTCCCTCTGGTTGCCGTAGCGCTCCTTCCACTCCTGAAACAGACAGACGCAGTGAGCATTCCCTCCAGCAGAGGGCGCCGAACCGTCGTCATGTCACTCGTTCTTCCACTCACTCTCCGTCGGTTCTCTCCGTCTTCGATCCTCTGCCTCTTCCTCCTCTCTGTGGAAACACAAACCGGTTTGAGGAACATTCTGGGATTTCGGCCATCTTTACTCCGCTCTCACCGCGTCGGATCAGCTCCTTCCCCTCGTCGATGAGGTCAGAGGTCATCTCGCTGTCATCCATGAACTGCTGGAAGCCCAGGAGGTTCAGGCAGCGCGTTCCCAGACTGAGTCAGAGCCAAGAACATCTTTAGAGGGCCAGCAGGTTTTCTGATAAATTTACAGTTTCTATACTGTATGTAATTATTTCAACTTATTTTAATAAGAGTGGATTCCTAACTGATCCTGACCGATCCTTTCTGATCCCTGATGGTTTGGTTTTCCTCGCCAGTCCAGCGGTGTCATGGCGGACTCACCGGGCCGGTGAAGAACCATTAACAGCTGCTTCCTGTTAGCATTTTCTACTATTGATTAGCCAGTAGGATTTGATATTTTAATATTGAAATATTAAATTTAAATCAATATTTGATTGTTTATTATAATAAAAACAAGAATCAATCATATAGATATTGAAAGAATACATCATTTAAATGTCAGTGATGTGCGGTGACGCTCTGACATCATCAGACCTCCTGCATCTTATTGTTTACATGCGGATATTGAAGGAAAAAGTTCCCTAAAGTTCCCTCTAGTTTATGCTGCCAAGGTTCAATAAATCTGTTAATACTCAATGAAACTTGGAAACATAGATATTATTAACTTAGAGATGTACAGCAAAGGAACCACTGTAGCTTCACTTATTTACTGTATGGCTAGCTCCCTGGCTAGCTTCATGCCTGGCTAGCTTCAAGCCTAGCTCCCTGGCTAGCTTCAAGCCTAGCTCCCTGGCTAGCTTCATGCCTGGCTAGCTTCAAGCCTAGCTCCATGGCTAGCTTAGTGCCTAGCTCCCTGGCTAGCTTTATGCCTAGCTCCCTGGCTAGCTCCACGCCATCGTTAAATATCTATATGATTGAACCTTGTAGCAGCTACAGCATGTTTTACTGCTCTGTGTTAATAAAGTTTGACTGACTGAATAATGTCATCCTCTTCTTCCCATCATGTTTAAAGGTCAAAGGTTAAAGGTGAGCGGAAGCTGCCGACCTGAAGTAGGTGGCGATGCAGAGGATGACGATCAGCATGGGGTAGTAGATGTAGAAGCCGTTGGCGATGAAGGACAGAACGCGCATCGAGCCCATGATCTGAAACACAGAGGGAAAGCTGAGCCCGGTTCTGGTTCTGATCGTGGTTCTGAATGCGGCGGTCTCACCGAGGTGTAGGCCGTGGGCAGCTTCTGCTGGTGGGAGATGGCGGAGTCCATGTGGATCAGACCCAGGAAGTTCAGGCAGAGAGGAGGAGTGAGACGGCAGAACAACCTGACGAGGAACCAGAGGGAGGTCACGACCGGGTCTGGGTCTGGGTCGGGACCGGACCAGGACCGGGTCAGGACCAGAACCGGGTCTGGGTCAGGACCGGACCAGGACCGGGTCAGGACCAGAACCGGGTCTGGGTCAGGACCGGACCAGGACCGGGTCAGGACCAGGATCGGGTAAGGAACGGGTCCGGGTCAGGACTGGACCGGGATCGGGTCTGGTTCTGACCGGATCAGAACCCAAAACGACCCAGAGATCCTGAACAGGGTCAGCAATGTTTCTACTGTAGCAAATATTAGATTTAAAAATTAAATAAGATAAAAAAGACAAACTGTAAAATAATAATAATAAAATAAAAATATTTTTATGAAACTTTAGACATTTAAGGCCAGAAGCCAATGAAAGAGCTGCAGCGCCCCCCACTGACATGCCGCTGAACTGCAGGCTGTAGGCGTCGGTCTGGTGGTGGGAGGCCAGGTAGTAATAGTTAAAGACCCGGATCCGGAACACGGTGGAGTAGACGCAGGTGCAGAGGAAGAAGATGGTGATGAAGCACGCCATCTGGTGGACACACAGCACATTACGCCTAAACGTTCTCAACAGGAATCAATCTGGGCCTGGACCGGACTCAAGGCCCCGGACTCAAGGACCCGGGCCCTGAGGCCCGGACCCTGAGGCCCCGGACCCTGAGGCCCTGGACCCTGAGGCCCCGGATCCTGAGGCCCCGGACCCTGAGGCCCCGGACCCTGAGGCCCTGGACCCTGAGGCCCGGACCCTGAGGCCCCGGACCCTGAGGCCCCGGACCCTGAGGCCCGGACCCTGAGGCCCCGGACCCTGAGGCCCCGGACCCTGAGGCCCCGGACCCTGAGGCCCCGGAACCCGAGGACCCGCCCTGAGCCCCGGACCCTGAGGCCCGACCCTGAGGCCCCGGACCCTGAGGCCCCGGACCCTGAGGCCCCGGATCCTGAGGCCCCGGACCCTGAGGCCCCGGACCCTGAGGCCCCGGACCTGAGGCCCGTACCCTGAGGCCCCGGACCCTGAGGCCCGGACCCTGAGGCCCCGGACCCTGAGGCCCCGGACCCCCCGGACCTGCTGCACCCAGGTGTCTCACCTCGATGTACAGGTAGTTGTAGTCTCTCTCTGCCAGCTGGATGAAGACGGCGAACAGCGACAGGACGGGTCGGGTGCTGAAGAACGTGCACTCGGACCAGACCACGGCCACGCTGAACAGCGTCAGAACCACAGACACCAGCCGGTAGAACCAGCGCTTCAGGAGGCATTCCCAGTACCACTCTGGGACAGAAGCACAGGCAGGTCAGTGGTCGGGGTCCTCTGGGCTCCGGTGCCGGCGGGGAGCGGCGACCCACCTACGGTCGGGGTGTAGACGTAGCGGCTGAAGCGGCCCGGCGGCTCGGCGGACTGGAAGCTGTGGACGAACTGGTGGCTCAGACTGGTCTCGTTCTTGGCCACGTCCTCCAGGTGGACGGCCTGTTGCAGCAGGATCTGCCACTGGACCCGGTCCGGTTGTGCCTCTGCACGGCGTATCACTGAGGACGGACGGCGGGGTGAGACGGCGGCGGCGGCTCCGGAACCGGACCGGGCCGGGCGCGACGCTCACCTGCTTGTGCAGCTTGACCAGACTCTTCTCGGTCGGTACGAGTTCTGCTTGTCGTCAAAGTCTTCGTAGTCGTCCATGTTCCGACCCATCTTCTCCTGGTAGTCCACGGGACACTGGGAGGTCAGAGGTCAGAGTCAGGGGTCAACTCCACAGGGCCCGCCGGAGTACCAGAACCGCCTGCTTACCTTCCTCAGGATGGTGTCGATGCATTTCCTCAGCGGATGGTTATACTTGATGGACTCGCTGACCCTTCCTCACCTCTGCAG